ATAATATAATTTGTTCATTGATTTGAGAGAACATGATGTTTCAAAAAAATAAAACTTGATCTACATTAGGGAAAGAACCATGAATAGAACCAAAAGAGAAATCAACGAATATTGTGTTCTCATGACCCAAACTCCATAGAAATGTCTCCAAGTCATTGGGGAACAATATTCTAAAATGTAAAAGCTTCCCAAGGATCACGTAAAGACTACTCTGAAGGAAATTCGATGTGTTGGCTTTTGAGGAGGTTGTAGGCTGAATGACTTGAGAAATCAAAGCATTATTAGAGCCATATGAAGAGTTAATAATGTATTATCTATTGGTAAAAAATATTTTTATATTTATAAGAGAGAAATAAAATAAATCCGAAATTTTATTTTTTAAAAAAATCGGGCGTTACTTTTTGTGGCAACTGTACATGTAATTAGTCTATATTAAGGGCATAAAGGTTTGGATCGTTGGAGATATCGGAATCATGGAACTTCTTTTGTGGTTTCATAAATCAGCAATCACGAGGTTTTCGTTGCGACAGCAACAGTATATTAGAAAATGATGTCAAAAATTTACTATAACAAGAGTCACTTGTAATTACAAAATTTTCTCATTTTCAAAGAGAATTGATCTGTAAACAAAGGATTGAAAACACGACTTTTTTTAATTTAAAGATTTTCTCGTCTTCAATAAAAAATTTACGCATGTGCAGTATATTCGTTATTAATAGCTTTTTAATAGCAATTTATAAATGCTATTAATTTTTAATAGATAAACAATTTTTAGATTTTGATTAAAAGCAAACGAATGATAGATGACCAATAAAACTTTTCTAAAAACATATGACTTGGCTGTGCCATATGGACGAATTTGGGTAAGTCTAAAAGTCTTTTGGACAGACCAAACGTAATGTTATTTAGCCTGAGAGAAATTGTTTAAATTTACTCAAATCCGCCATATGTTAAATTTGTGTCTTCAATATCTCAAAAAAAGGTGAAACCAAAAAATTGATTAGCTCTTCTTGTATTCTTCGGCATCTTGTATATGTCGGGACCTTTCGGTCTTAATTTTCAAGTAACAGTCTCTAAATGGTTTATAATAACCCAATAACATGTGCGGTAGGTATAATAAAATATACAATTGAAGCGGATTAAAGACATTATGCTTATTTTGCATTTCGAATATTTTATTAACAGTTGGTGTTGATTTGGAACAATGTTTTGTCATTCTAATTCTCCCTAACAAAAGTTTTGAAACATGAATTATTTTCTACTACACATACAAAATCGGATAGAGCTATAATCCAACATCGGTTTATTATTGTGATAAGCTACTAAAACTGCATATATACTGAGTAATACATGCGATACATGTACTTTTTAAGAAATGAGAAGATAATCGTTCGTGCATGTATTGTGCGTTAAATAAATACATGTAGTTTATTTCCAAATGGCCGAATGCATGCATTGCAGCTTGTTATGCTGCTTGAAATATCCGAAGATCAGCATTCACGAAAAAAATAATGGCTCAAATCTATAAAAGAGACGTGTCTTTTCGTTCAATTTGATTTTCGTCGCAAATCCAATCAAGAGCTGCTTAACAAAAAACTTCGATTCCTCCTTCCTTCTATAACATTAAGATACTGAACTGGTTTCTTATCTTTTTGTAAAAACTTTCTTTTTAAAAAGACTAAAATATATATTATCTTTCCACATTCCTCGAAAAAAAATCTTCAATACACTCTCTCGCCCGAATTACGTAACAATCCTTTCTTAAATAAAATAATATATAAAAATGAAGTTTTTTGCAACATTAGCTCTCTTGACGGCAGCTATATCGTTAACCGTTGATGCAGCACCCACCTCATCATCCGTAGTCAAAGTTAACTTGATGAAAAATGATCTACCCGAATATTTTACTTGGCTGCAAAAGTCAAGGATCAATAGAAATCGTGCACTATTGAAATACTCAAACAATATTCGAACAGCCTATAATCACGGGTTAGTTGGTCAAGAAGCCATCGTAAAATTAGAATCTGCTTCCGCCCCAGTATTTGATGATTCCGCACCAAAAACTTTCATCATTAATACTAGTTTTAAGAAAGGAAATACCAATAGTACCAGTGATACCGGAAGCGATAATCCATTAGGAAATGATGATAGTAATAGTGGGGACGATAATAATGGTGGCGACAATGCTGGAAATGATAATAACGACAATAACAATAATGGGGATGATAGCAATGGCGATAGCAATAGTGGGAGTGACGGCAATGGCGACAACAATACTGGGAACAATAGCAACGGCGACAACAATAGTGGAAATGATAACAACGGCGATAGCAATAATGGGAATGGCGATAGCAATAGTGGGAATGATAGTAACGGCGGCAGCAATAGTGGGGATGATAGTAACGGCGGCAGCAATAGTGGGGATGATAACAACGGCAGTAACAATGGTGGGAATGATAGCAATAATGGTAGTAACAATCCTGTTGGTAAAGGAAAAAATGGTAATGGTAATTCCGGTC